ATTTTTTTCTCGATTTTTTCGACATCGGCCCATTCGAAAACAGAGTAAGCAGAGCTTGGCCTCGGGGACGCCTCGCATGAATTATTCCAGCTCTTAACTTCTGATACCTTTCTGTCGAGATCGTCCACTCGGTTGCTCTTTCTCGAAGACGTCTTGCATAGTGGCCTCACAAATCCAATACACTTCTGCAAAATCTTTTGTGATGAAGTTCTCCATTTCTGGAGCGTGTGGAGATTGTTTTCGGACACGAATGGGGAAATCGGAGAATAAAGCGGAGTCGGTGGGGTCGAAATGCTATTAGACGTTATTCGGGCCTCCGGTTGTGATTTCTTAATGTATACGGGCTTGATTTGCCCTTCGAAAAAGATTTCATCCGCGTGAACGACACAACTGGCGGAAGATGATGATGATGAAGTTATCGAAAAATCGAAGTCGAAACTTATTTGTTTTTCGGAATTAGTGTTGGCGAATTTCGAACCGAGGAAAGTATCTAAGGATGATGAAGCTGGATTTTTGTGTGTCAACCAGCTGTAGGAAAAGCTCTCTGTGGCTAATGGCTGAGAGTTATCTTTCTCCATAGTGAGATTAATTAGTGAGGCAAAAGGCTCTCAGTCTCAGGTGGTGTTTTTGAGTAATGAAAATGGAGAATAAATGGGTTTTTTCTTTTTAACACAGCTCTTGTGACAGACATATATAGCAACATTTGTGGATGCCCATGAGACAATGTCTTTTTTTGTACTTGGGTTGGGAAGATAAATTTACATTTTATACATGGCTCTTGTTTCATGCTACTCTAATTACCTGAACAAGGAAAATTTTATATTGGATTATCCAGTATAGAGATTTTTTTTTTTTCAAAAAAATATATATTCTTTAAAATCGGAATAGAAAAGTCGGTCGTTTCTGGAATCGGTCCTAAAACGGGGTTGCGAAAGAACCGATCATTAACCGGTCGAACTGGTCCAAAACTGGCTGGTTGGGCTGTTTCTCGTTTTGTTTCTTTAAATTAGTTTTAATATTTTTAAATAATTTTTTAGTACGTTACGTTGCAATTTGTATCAATTTTGAACTTGTTCTTGCCAAAAACTTCTCGAAAGATTTCCTTTTTTTTTTTCTCGAATAATCAACAAATACAAAATCCAAACAAGGAATACAAATTCCAT